TGTATAGGTTGTTGAACAGTATAAACAACTGCTGGTTGTACCAGCTAATCTTTTATTGGATTAAAAGAGCACTCTCGTGTATCTTAGCATGTAAGTGAGTCTTCTTCAATAACAGTGAATGGTATAAGCACGTTTGGATCTGTATTTGTAGTATGGTGTTCTTCATCAGGAACAGCGGTATTAGTAGAGGATCGGGTTGCACCTTCTCGGCAGGAATGGTAGATGGCTGATCTTTAATGATATCTGGTCTTAAATATCTGATCTTAAAATGAGGATGCAAGTGATAGCAAATAGTAGAACTGTGGTCAAACATACTACAATGAGAGCAATAAGAAGGATGTGATTCTATTTAGACATTTTACCAATACTCGTTGTGAGTGGTTCCAATCCATACATTATACGGGGATAGTTGAGTGATATCTCTCTCAACTAACACACAAGCCACAAAGGGTCTAGTGACATCAAACGTAGGACTATCAACCTTGAGAAGCTTACCGTAAGCAGTTGCTAAGGAGTAAAGAATTTCCAAGTTGAACAGATGTAATTTTAACCCCGAAAACTTTATCCAAACATGAATGATATGGGACTCCATTTTTGGATCAAAATCGACAGTCCCCTTCATAATTTTCATAAAACAGTTGTCAATCTTGATAACTTTTTGAGAAAAAATATGAGTGTAATCGGCAACGTGACATAGCTGAATAAATATATGTCGACCGTCAAGCAAGCCAATATTCCAACTGCTCGATAGCTTCATAACATCAAAATCTTTCCGAATAATCTCAAGTTTTGGATGATCAATTTTGGGTGACCATAAAGAAATTTTCCCACTAGAGCAAAACGCCAAGAAGACGCAAGAGTATTGGTTTCAACTTCAGTGAGAATAAGAGCAGGCTTCCCATTTTTTTAACTAGTTTTTTAATAAAAGTGTGATCACCACCACCTTCAAGAGCATCGTGGAAAGATTGTGGAACATTGCAGGACTTGCCAATACGAAAATCACCACCACCCTCAGTCGTCTTCTCCAGTCGAACAGCTCGCACGTACGAGTCAGTTATCTCAACCGATTACTAAAGCCAAACAAATTGGTCCATCGGGTTCTCTGTCTCGCTCATCTGTTTTAGTCGCACGTTTGGTTCTATGGCTTCTGTTCCTCCTCAACCATCGAATGCTTCAGTTTTAAACCTTGGGAAGGCTTCTTATGTTGATATGGTTCGCTCTGTGGAATCAGTGGATACTCGGGTCTTCCCTCAAGTTTATCAAGAATCATTTGAAGGCCAGGGGGACTGTAACCTCATCAAGAAGACAAGTGACAATAGTGGCAAACTAGCTTTAATTTTCTCTTATGTTGAAGTTTCCAACCTAGTTGAAGAGTGCAAATTTACCCTCAATAGGAGTTCCAATTGGGTCATCCTAAAATGAAAATCGTTCGAAAGGCTTATGAAGATCTCAAACTATTGGGAGATTGGAAGGTTGGTCTCTTTGATGGGAGGCATGTGATGATACAATGATAATACAATTATTTAAAGTGAAGGACTATGCCAAAAAATTTTCCAAAAAGTATATGACAATTGATGGGAAATATATGAAATTTCTGAAGTGGACTCCTGAATTTGATCCTAGCCAAGAACCCCCTATATTTCCAATCTGGTTTAAACTACCTGGCCTAAAGTTGCACCACTTTAATCACCAAGTCCTCTATTCTATTTGAGCTGCACTAGGGAGACCTATGAAATTGGACATACCTACCTTCAACCTATTCAGGTCTTCAGTTGCAAGGATTCTTGTTGAAAGGGATATCACCCTCCCTAACATAGAAGAATTATGACTTTGTGCTACCCACAATGGGTATTGGCAGTCAATTATCGCAGAACAAATACCCTACTACTGTAATCACTGTAACTGTTTGGGCACACACCTGTCAAATGCTTCAGTTAAACTGTTTGGGCACACACCTGTCAAATGCTTCAGACTTCATTCAAATTTGAGATCCAACCTTCCTATGCATTTGGATTCTGCAATTCCTAACAACATCATCCAAGTGGAGGAAAATATAGTTGAAACTGAAGATTTTCCTTAAATGTTGAATGAAAAATTGTCTCATAAGGTTACTCCTCACCAACTAGTTCAGCAGCTACTTCTCACTGCTATTGAGGCAATTCTTTCTCAGATCATAAATACTAAGAATTTGGTTGTAGCAGATGCTAGCTGAAGTGTTTTGGAACCACCTGTTGTGAGAGAAGAGTGTACTCAAGTCCTCGAGGAGTGTCAAGATCAAGATGTGCTGTAGGTTGAGACTGCTCAGCAATTTACGGATCAACATACCCCCCAAGGTGAGCTCTCCATCGAAGATCCACCAATTGATCAGATGGGACAAACACTGACAGATGAATAACAAGTTTATAAAGCTAGGAAGAAGAAAAAATGAATGTTATAACTAAGGAATTTTCGGGGTGATTGTTTGATAGTTTCGGGTGGAAGCCCGCATCACAGTTTGTTGCTAGACTCTTCCCTAGAACCAGGGGGAGGAGAAGTGGTAAATCCACCCACCATGACTAGGATTATTTCATATTTTTTGCGGTATACGTGTATTTTAAAGTCTCTTTTTGAGTGAGTTGCATTTCTTGTGAGTGGGCTCTTAGTACCCACTCACTAAAACCTTTGCATCTTCTCTTTTACATCAATATATATATATGTAGAGAGAGAGAGAGAGCACTTAGGTTTTTCCTTTACCTCTCAATTAAAAATGAGATGAATAACTTTCATTGGCTTCTACATGCCAGATATTAATTAAAGAACTTGTTTAGCATTTTTTTTAACTCTCAAGTAAGAAAGAGATAAATAATTTTCTTTGCCTTCTAAGAACTCTCAAACAAAAAAACAGAGAATGTGGATCCATTCTTTTCTTTACTTTTATCTCCATCTAAATCCTTTCTTCTTTTCCAACAACACCCAATCAGATATATATCTTGGAAAAGTTTGAAGGGACGCCTTGCACAAAAACAATACTGGGAACTTTAGCATATAAGGGGAGAAATTCAGGGGTATAGAGGCTATCTTAATCAAAGCTGAGAGAGAAAGAGAGAGAGAGAGAACACTTAGTTTTTTTTTCCTTTAACTCTCAATTAAAAAATGAGATGATAAATTTTCATTGCCTTCTTATACGCCGGATATCAATTAAGGAACTTGTTTAGCATTTTTTTTAACTCTCAAGTAAGAAAGAGATGAATAATTTTCTTTGCCTTCTAAGAACCCTCAAACAAAAAAGCAGAGAATGTGGATCCATTCTTTTCTTTACTTTATCTCCATCTAAATCCTTTCTTCTTTTCCAACAACACCCAATCAGATATATATCTTGGAAAAGTTTGAAGGGACGCCTTGCACAAAAACAATACTGGGAACTTTAGCATATAAGGGGAGAAATTCAGGGGTATAGAGGCTACCTTAATCAAAGCTGAGAGAGAAAGAGAGAGAGAGAGAACACTTAGTTTTTTTTTCCTTTAACTCTCAATTAAAAAATGAGATGATAAATTTTCATTGCCTTCTTATACGCCGGATATCAATTAAGGAACTTGTTTAGCATTTTTTTTAACTCTCAAGTAAGAAAGAGATGAATAATTTTCTTTGCCTTCTAAGAACCCTCAAACAAAAAAGCAAAGAATACGGATCCATTCTTTTCTTTACTATTCTCCATCTAAATCAATTTTTCTCTTCCAACAGCACCCAATCAGATATAGATCATGGAAAAGTTTGTAGAGGACGCCTTGCAACAAAAACAGTACTGGGAACTTTAAAATATAAGGGTAGAAATTGAGGGGTATAGAGGATTTCTTAATCAAGCCTACAAGGGAATGGAATTGCTAGCCAGTTGTAGCTAGCCAAATTTTAGTACGACAAAGACCAAATCAATCAAACACCCAATCAGATATGGATCATGGAAACGTTTGTAAGGGACACCTTGCAACAAAAGCAATACTGGGAACTTTCAACTATAAGGGGAGAAATTCAGGGGTATAGAGGATTTCTTAATCAAACTTAAAAGAAGGCAATGGAATTGCTAGCTTGTAGCTAGCCAAATTTACGAGAAAGACCAAATCAATCAAACACTAGCATATCATCAAGCTTCCAAGCTCAAAAAGTTATCCAATAAGCATAAAACCAAATACTAAAAAGTAAGGCAGCAAAATACTATCAAAGTAAAACAAGCCATAACCACGCCAAATAGATACATAAAATGCACATGCAGATCAAGGACGAAACAAAATCGCCAACCTTGCAGCATAACTAAAACAACTTTAAGCAAAGCAAAGCGCTACAAAATATAAACAGACTGAAATTTCAAAATTCTACATATAAATAGAGAAACCAATTTAAATATCAAAAATCCCCAAATAAAGAAAAATATATTTGTCCTCAGCTGTATTCATATAATACTGTTCCAAAATATCCTCATGAAAATTCCAGAAAGGGTACAGATAATTTGTGTGAATAAAAAACTTACATCGGACTAGCAAAAGTCATAATCGGTTGCACAACCAAACAGATCAAAAGCTCTCGACCAATACAACGAACTAGTGGGCATTGAGCTTCTTGCGGTTGCAAAACTATGGCAAGAAGTCCTCCAACCATTTGTTGAAGAACCTAAAATAAACAAAAGTTAACCATTACTGCAAGAGCCAAAAAATATTTGTAAATTGCAGCAAAAAAGGGAAATAAAATAAACCAAAGGCACCTTATGCTCAAACTCTGGAGATACTTGAGCAGGATGAAGTTCCCTGGAAGCCATCAGATGTCGTTTGAGTCTTTCATCTCTTTCTTCAAAAGAAAGAGTTCCCATAATGTCAGTGCCTATTTCTGACTGATTTTTTCTAAAAAGATCCAATTGATTTCCTATCAAGTCAACCATATCCCTGAAAGTTGGAAAAGGAATTTTGTTCTCATTATAGAAAATAGATTTCACATTTGAGTTCTGAAAGCTTGTAGATGACTTACAAAAGTAACACAAAAGCACCTTGTTAACAACTCCACTAGGTTGATCTCTTTAATCCTTCCCGATATTTCACCAAGCACATCTAGTATTAATGTCCTTAAAAGCTCAGGTGCTTCTTGGTCAGGAGTGATAGAAGAATACCAAAGATCAACAACAAAATCCTGTAAAATCTTTTTAATAAAATCATCTATAGCAGTCTCCACAACAGGTGAATCAATTTTTCTTCTCCATTTTGATGTATTTGTCACCAGAGAAAGACGGGGGTCATCAACAGATAACTGCTGCTTCTCCAAATGTGACAAGTATGTCTGCCGTCGTACTCTCTGCACCTTCCATCTGAATTCCACCTCATATGATATATAGCGGAAGGCAGCAAATATAAGAACTGATATAGGGATATTTATCCACATTGATTTGCTTGTATCTGCAAGAAAAAACAATAAACTAGAAAAACGCAATATAAAATATTTAAGCCTGATTGCAATATTATTTCCTGATTATGCCTGATTATGCTGGAAAGGATGTAGAATATTATGACCGATACAATATTATACATAGCAGAAGGCCAATCATTTGCCAAAAAAATAACATTCAAACAAAAAAATAAAACAACATTAAGACAATACCTTTAAAAGAATATTATTTCCTGCCTGAAAGAAATTTAAAGAACACGTCAAGGTACATTAGAATAGTTTCTTCAGAAAAATGAAGTAGAACTTTAAAGACTATCTGATACATCCAAAATTAACAAACCTTCTATTGAATTAAAATGTCCGCAGTTGTACAGTTCTTTTTTTCTCCCTTCTATTGATATGAGACAATCAAGCTTTAAAATAGATTAAGCGGGAAAGAAGCGACCATTTAAACTAAAAAAATCAAAATCACATCAAGCTTCATGAAATTAAAGCCCGTTCAATATTATTAGAATATTTAAAAGCAAGAAATGCATGCAATTTTAAAAAATTCTAAGCTTCTTATCAAATATAGGTGCATTTGGAAGTTACTTTCATCATACTTCAGACAAGAAAAATGTAAGGATGAGTATTAAAACATTAATTCAAATCATATCAGTCTCAGCTGTAAAAATAACTTTACATCCTAATACTAATTTCATCACCTTGAACCCTTCCAAATCCATCACAATTAACACCAGCTGCTCAGCTATATAATCATTTTCCATTTGCCTTAACCAGTGTACACCAGCCACAAGAGTGGTCTGTGAATTTAGTAAATAATATTACTTAATTTATCTAGCGTTTCAAAGTAAAATTGCTATCATTGCCAATTTCATTATGCAATCACACTAGATAATCAAACATAAGAATCTAAAATCAACTTATCCTATGTGAGAGCTTATTGAATAATCTGCTGATAAGCTGATTAAAAATAATTTGCTGATAAGCTAGGTGTGGTGACTATTACCATTTTTTATTTTTTTTGAAAAGTCAAACCGCAGCCAGAAAGCTGTCACTGCACCTAGACAGACATAAGCTGTTAAAACACAGTTCAGGCTCATTTGGGGCAGCTTATTTGGTACGGTGACGTTTTGAAAACGCATCTGGCCTGTTTGGGTGAACTGTGTTTTGACAGCTTATGTCTGTCTAGGTGCGGTGACAGCTTTCTGACTGCGGTTTGACTTTTCCAAAAAAAAATAAAAATTTGTAATAGCCACCGCACCTAGCTACCACTATTGTTGCCTTAATCCTGCCCATAAACACTTTCTCCAATCCATAATATGCCTTAATATCCTTGTGCCCTTTTTGTTCATGGCATTATTTCTTTTTTTTTTTGTTACAACTTCTCTCTCTCAAAGATGAATCAAAAAAATAAAAAAGAAGAAAGGGGGGTGGATGATCACATAGGATAAGTTGATTTAGGGTTTGTTTGAGGCAGTTTATTAGTGTTGGCGCGTTTTGAAAACGCTGCCGCACCATTTAGTACACGAGTTCGGGTGGTTTATCCCGAGACGGTGTTTTGGAATCCTAAATAAATGCGGACGCGGGATCGACCCCGCGTCCCGCGTCTTCATTTCGCATTCCGGTGAAATTTCCTCCTGTGCCCTTCTTCAATCCGACTCCTCCCTCGCAGATCTCAAGCCCTAGCTCAATCGATCTCACCTCTCCCTCGCCTCTTCCTCGCGTCTTTCCCTGGCCTCTCGCTCGACCAGCCTTGCCTCTCCCTCATCTATATGCTTTCTTCTTCACTGTTTTTGATTGATATTTTTGCGAGATTTTTGCAATTCTTGGTTGTGCTTGTGGTGCCTGTGGGTTTGAAGTGTGTTGGAGTGTGGCTTTGTGTCGCTGTGTGTGCTTGTGGTGTCTATGGGTTTGAAGTGTGTTGGTCTGTGGCTTTGGGTTGGGGTGTGTGCTTGTGATGGTCGTGTGTTTAAAGTGTCCTGAGTGTGGCTTTGTGTTTGTGTGTGTGCTTGTGATGGTTGTGCATTTGAGGTTTGTTGGTTTGTGGCTATGGGTTGGTGTGTGTGCTTGTGGTGGTCGTGGCTAATTTTCCATATTATGTTACAATAAAGTGCCCTTACTTCAAAAGCTTTTTTTATTTTTCAAATTTTCCGAGTGGTTTAAATGTTGAACCAAGAGAGAGTGCAATAAAGCCCATTGAAGATAAGATTTTGAAAAACAAATTTAGTTGCAATCAAGATTCAGTCTCAAGCCCGGATGTGCAAAGTGGAGGGTTGCGTTAGGTAGTCGGCAGCTAGCGTAAAGCTTGTCGAAAAAGTCATGACATGAATCTTTTTTATTATTGTGTAAGTGTTAGGGCGCCCCTAGAAGCGACGCGTTTTATGGTCTGAATATAGTAAAAAATGTGCAATAGCCGCTACACCGGCACACGGGTGTAGTTTCAAATACGCAAGTGTTCCCACATTACGGACAAATGCAGTAAATAAAGTTAGCCCATAAAACTAATATTAAGATAGGATCTTGGAATATGAGTACTCTTACTGGTAAATTAATGGAAATAGTTTATATTATGATTCATACAAAGATAAATATCTTATGTGTTCAAGATACTAAATGGGTTGGAGAAAAGACAAAGGAGATTGATAACTTAAGTTTTAAACTTTTGCATTCAGGTAAGAGTCGCACTAGTAATAGGGTTGATGTAATTGTAGATAAGAGTTTAAAATATAATGTTGTAAAAATTAATAGAGTTGGTGATAGAATTATAGTCGTTAAGATTATTGTTGATACTAAGATTTTTAATATTTTAAGTGTTTATGCTCCTCAAGTAGGTTTAGATATAGGTTATAAAGATAATTTCTGGAATGACTTTGAAAACTTAATAGAAAACTTAATACAAATGATACAAATACAAATGATACATCATGAAGAAAGAATTTTTATTGGAGGAGATTTAAATGGACAAGTTGGTAAAGTGGTAGAAGATTATAGAAATATTCATGGTGGCTACGGTTTTGGAGTGATTAATGAAGAAAGTAGAGCTATATTAGAAGTACAAAGCGCATATTTAAAAGTTTTGTTGTTATTGTTGTTATTATTGTTGTTGTTGGGCATGCCTAGACGTACAAAGCACACAAATAAAATATAGAAATCGATGCAGAAAATTTTTGAGGATTTAGAAAGAACAAGGGATGGACCTATGTAACAGAGGCACAAGTAGTGCAAAAAATTATGTAAATTAGGGTGCATTTGGCGCCCTGTTCTTCCTGCTTTTCGCCCCCAAACGGCGACCGTAATGTTCAGTCACAAATCGACAAAAATCGAAACAGAGGGGAGCCAGTGAGTTCCGCGGTCTGAGCTCCATTTTGAATTATAAATATCATCGTTGCCCCTCTTCAATAGCCAAAATTCCTTACCTCGGTCCTCGTAAATACCCCTTGCACCCTCCCCAGTCAAGGTTGTCACCTGTATTTAGGGCAGAAACCTGATTGCGCACTACCCTCCGTCAGTTTTTGGTGTCGTCGACTCTAGCTACCAATTTTGTATGTTTCTCTCGATCTCCTTTGTTTTGTGTTGGGATGATTTGAAAGTTTTCGTATTTGGTAATTTTCTGTTCTCAATGGTTTGAAGGATTGTGTTTTCTATTTTCCTCACTACATTACCTCTTTTGACTACTGTGTTGGGTTAGTATTAAGGTGCACTGCTCTCGTTTTGAAAAATTTTGTTGAGCTATGTCATTAACTCGTTCAGGAGCTCTTTCCTCTTCATCAATCTAGAGAGTCATTTTGTTGATAGAAAATTTTTCAAATACGAAGGACACTTCATCAATCTAGAGAGTCATTTTGTTGATAGAAAAATGATCACATCTGCTTCTTTGGACATTATAAATATTTCCTCATGTTCTCTATGCCTCCACTAAAAAATTGTGTTGATCATGAAAACCACTAGACCACTTTAGTACAAACACCTCAAAAAATATTTTTTATTAAGGTATTGATATCTCTATCTATTCTAACATTAGTACAATTAAAAAGAATTAGAAATAATGGTCTAACAATTTTTTTTAAATGTTTGCATCGAAGCAATTAACCGCACTCATGCCGACGCATGCATTGGCAACGAGGAGAATATCGCATATATTGGAAGGTGTGAGGTTGCTACACAAAACATCTTAGTAGTGTGTGATTTCAACATGTGTTTTACATTCGCGATGGCTGACTGAGAAGGGAATACTTATGATAGTAGAATTTTCAAATTTACAACCTAGCAGCATGAATATAAATTTTTAATACCTCCCTATCTTAGTACATTTTAGACATCACAAGAATCATTTCATTGTATGAAATGAACTAATTGTGTAATTATTCAGGAAAATATTGCCTAATTGATTCGAGATATCCATTGTAGCAGAATTTCTTGAAACTATTTCCCGACATGAGGAATCACCTTTCTGATTTTGAGCGCAGTAGCCAAGTGATTAGAGAAATGAATGAACTATTCAATAAAAGACACTCATCATTACGGAGTGTCGCCGGGAGAGCATTTGGTATATAGAAGAAGAAGAGGGTCATAATCCGAGATATATCGATATGCTCTTTCAAAAAAGAGGTGAAGAAAGTTGTTGCAAAAGCAACGCTCAATAATTTTATACGGAGGCATCCATCGTGAAACAATATCGATTTCAGGGTCTTAGATAATGATCCTACCTGTATGCCTAAGAAAGCATTCCAACATTGGTGATCGTGTCAACTGTATTTATATAGCATCACCTAGTGATTTCTTATTAATGATTCATATTTCAACTATACATTGGATTTTTGAGTATATTTCGTACATAATTCTAGCAATAAGTATTTTAATTTTCTTGATGTGTCATAAATACGTTTTATTTTTATTATAAAACTGTTTAATTTTTTTTAATATTTCTTTTACATATCTATATTTCTCTCAAATGAAGTCATATTGTATGTGACAATCACAGGAAACATGAGTTCGAGAGAATCAGATA